TATGCTTTCATGTTTATTAGATTTATCATATCCTGGACTTTTGAATGCATGTTTATCCTTTCAATTTTTTTGAAAAATCGTATAAATATAATGAAAAGAAGATTTCAAACATACATAGAAAAAAAAACAAAGTTTTAAATTTTTAAAAAAAAAACACGTTTTGTACAGAATTTTTTGCTCTACAACATATCAAAATTTATAGATGGCGATTTTTCGGTATCTAGAGCTGTGAGCCGGAATAGGGTGTAAAAGTGAGAAAAACCCACTATTTCTACAGTAATCCATGTATTTTTCAATGGCGGAATTATCCGGGCCCTTTCTGAAGGCCGCAGCGGGCAGCCACAAATATTCATTATGCTTTAAGCGTTAAAAATTTGCTATAAAAGTTGTGCTTTACTTCCATAATATTGACTGTTTATTATTCAACAGCGTTGTATGATAAAGCCTTCACTCCAGCGTTTTTTCCTTCTTAAATTTAGAATTGTCTCCATCTTATACTTGTTAAAGTTCTGGTTGCATAAGCGAACGAAAGCACGACTCGTTGTTTTCCTTCGGATTAAGGTGCTGTAGTTCACCAGAAACAGAAAAAATTTTAAAAAAAATCTTAATTTAACAGATCTCCAGATAAAGCAGTGAGTTCTTAGACTTCTTTGCAACTCCAGGATGCATACTACCTTCATAGTTTTGACAGAATAAAATATGAGAAATAGAAAATGCTGAAGTGAAAGCTACACCTTACAACTCTGCTGATTAATAAACAGTCAATATTATGGAAGTAAAATACAACTTTTATGGCAAATTTTTAGCGTTCAAAGCATACTGGATATTTGTGGCTGCTCGCTGCGGCCTTCAAAAGCGGCTCCAGATGAATTCGCCATTGAAAAATACGTGAGATTACTGTAAGAAGTTTTACATCCTATTCCGGCTTATAGCTCTGGATACCAAGAAATCGCCATCTTCAAATTTTGATATGTTGTAAAGCAAAAAATTCTGCACAAAATGTGTTTTTTTTTTTAAAATTTAAACCTATGATTCTTTTTTAATGTTTGTTTGAAATCTTGTTTTTATTGTACTTATACGATTTTTGAAAAAAATTGAAAGGGTAAATATGCATTCAAAAGTTCAGGACATGGGCGGGTAATTCACTTTTCTAGGTTTTTTTGCGGCTTCCTCTATGCTCGCCTGGATTCTACTAATCAGCAAAATTTAAA